GTGCTGAGTACACCTGTTAGCGCTATATAAATATAATATACATACACTGTATACCTACTGCACTTACTGTACCTCTCTCTACTGTAATGTAACCTGTAAAGTGCTGAGTACACCTGTTAGTGCTATATAAATAAATATACATACACTGTATACCTACTGCACTTACTGTACCTCCCTCTACTGTAATGTAACCTGTAAAGTGCTGAGTACACCTGTTAGCGCTATATAAATATAATATACATACACTGTATACCTACTGCACCACCCTCTACTGTAATGTAACCTGTAAAGTGCTGAGTACACCTGTTAGTGCTATATAAATATATACATACACTGTATACCTACTGCACTTACTGTACCTCCCTCTACTGTAATGTAACCTGTAAAGTGCTGAGTACACCTGTTAACAGGCTGTTAATTTTAGTCACACTCCCACGTCATAGCAACTTCAAACTTCATCTCTACAAAGTAGTTATGGTGGCAGGAGTGCCTGGGTGCCATTTTACCTGCATGGGTTAATCCAGTTTTTGCATGATTAAACCCTAAAGTGACCACTACGCCTCTGTTCCTCCAGCTGTGGTATACTTCAAGGTTTGTGCGTCAATTGACTCCCTTAGCCTATCACAGGCCATTGTAAACTTTTATGTGGTGTATGGCGGCCAGAGGAAGGACAAGTGAGACAGAAAACATGCAAGAAAGGTTTAACCACTCAAGATAAGAGTCGCCACTGACGCTAGCCTTATGGCAATTATCTGGTAGTGTCCCTTTAATTCCTTTTCACACCTTCCTCTTGTGAGACTGCTGTACTTCCTCGTTCACAAACTCATATAAATTATTGTATCTAATTAAAATAGAGGAAGTCTCTACCCTCTGGCTGATATCTCACAATGATCAGCAAGACACTTGGCGGCAGCTGTGCTGCAGAGCATCATGGGATATCTTTCTATTTCATAGCCGTTACAGTAACAGATATTGGCCTTCTTTAACACCTGGTTCTAAATGCTCATCATACAGGTTTATTCACTAAATATTGAATTGTAGCAAAATAGTAACCAAAATGTAGAATTTCTGCAAAATGTGTTGATTTGAAAAAAATTCTCCTTCTCAGCTATAATCTCAGTCTGGCTAATTTAGGATGAATTTTGCAACTTAGTTTTTAATTTGCTATAATTCTGTGGTGGGAAAAAACCTCTTTGGGTTATTCACGAAAGTGGGAATTGTAGGGAATTCAAAATTTATTTCAAAATAATCAAACTGCAATCTTCCTCTGGATCAGCTATGGTTTCAGATCCGCTACTCTGGCCTTAACTTTAAAATTCACAGTGAATTTCACGCTAGTAAACAATGCTGTTAGTGTCAAATCTCTGCTATCACAATGCCCTGATCCATAATTAAACGCTGATGTTTTATTGTAACAATTTTGTGACCTAATACCAACATGTTTTAAAAAAGAATGCTACAATATGTTTCATTACAATACACTGTTTGTATTATGGACAATGGAATGTGGATGGTATCAAAATTATAGAGGAAAATAAAAATATACCCACTGTGCAAACTGCACGCACATTGTCCACCACCAAATGATACACATGGCAGCCTACAATTTCTAGAGGGCATGTCATTCCTCCCAACTGTCCAAGGTACTGAAGGGCAGTCCCTATCCTTCCATTCCAAAAGACGAACATCGGAAACAAGTCCCCAAAAAGCACTGCCCGAGTGCATCATTAAATGTGATTGCACTGCGCTAAGCTGGCCGTTCTGTAGAGCTCTGTGAATAGGCCACTCTGGGGATCAGGCCAGACAGTGGCGCTGTCAATCAGCCTAGTGCCAAACTTACTTGGCTCTTTTGAGGCTTGCGTGTCACCAGGGCAACAGTTCGTGTCACTGTTACTTCAAGATATCCCAACAAGTCCACTGTAACCGCCATATTAGAGGAGGAGAAAGAAACTTTAATTAAAGTATATATTAATCTCCTTTTATGTTGCACATTTAAAGGGAAACTCAAGGCACCATAACAACTTAATATCCATGAAGTTGTTATGGTGCCTGAAACCCCTGGAAGACGTCTTACCTTAAGGGGATAAACTGTTATGAGAAAACTGGGTGAGGAATGTAGGACAGTGCCCAGGACCTAGAGGCACCATATTAAGATGAAGTGGTTATGGTACCTGGAGTGTTCCTTTAATTATTCTTTACTCATGATACACCAACAGGTTCTGTGGTGCAGTACAATATTATAAACTCTCATGGCCAGCTATAGATGTACTTGGGCACTATCTGATATCTTTCTGAAGATTTCCACCACTGGAAAGAATAATAAGAATCTATTACGTATTTCTCAGGAAAATCTATCGCTGATCTAAAGGATTTTCAGTATTGTACTACGCCACAGAACATGTTGGAGCTTCATAAAAAAAATAATAATAAAAGAAGACTCCACAAGATGATCCAAAAAGAACCAGCGATAACTTTTAAAACATAGTTTTCTTCTGATATTTTATTAAAGGATTTAAAGAGCGCCACATGGATCCCTTACAGAAGGGGTTACTCTAGAACTTTATTAATGAAATATATTAATAACAGTTGTCGCGCTGTTACGGTAACGTGAAAAGAAATGAATTGATCTGTACGAAAACTCCTGCCGTTTCAGACCTGTTCTTATCCACATAATGCGTTTGCTAGGAAACTGTTCTCATAAATCACCGATATAACATCGCTCTTGTTTGCAATGGGCATTTTCTTTTCCTCCTTTTCATTTTCAGAGAACAAAGTGGGATTTTTCAGCGGCCTTTTGTGGCGGGGGAACGTCTGCATTATTTGCTTTGCAAAAATTATATTTCTTAGTCAAATTTTAACACGGCCAAGCCTCCTGGATAAGATTAAAACAACTCACGCCTTTATAACAGCAGCTCAGCCCACATGGCTTCTAAAGGGCCTTTGGCAAACCGCAAAGGATTCTGGGAGTTGTAGTACTGACATGATTGTCAACAAGTGACTTGCAGTTTATGGAGATATTTTCTCTTCTTGTTTGTGTTTTTAAGCACAAGTAAGAACGAGAAGACCCACTTTTTTTTAGTTTTTAGTTAACTCTTTGAAAGCCAGAGAACTACTGAACATAGTTTGCCTACAGTTAGAATACGCATTCCTGGTCATATAAAATATTGTTTTAAGCCTTAAATCATTTGAGAAATGTCCCAGAAAAAGTAAAATAATTGTATAAAATTTTAATTAATGAAAAAAAATAAAATGAACTGCAGTGTGAGAGTTAATAAAAATACTTAGCCAAGGGGGGAAAGTGGGGAGACAACAATGTATTTACCCTGTACAATGTCGCTCCTAGTTACATGAATGCAGTTAGTAGGGGGTCTGAGGATCCCTTAATTGACTTGATAAAACCTCTATTTATTTTTCAATGTTCACTCCTGTCCTGAATTGTGCATTGTTCTGTAACTTCACCTAAAATAAAATCAGGCCATCAAAAATATTAGCGGGTGCACATTTGGGGTCCCTTCGGAGTTGGTTGATTCTTCAAGTAAATATTTGAGCAGAAACCAAATTGATGCGATTTAAATTTCCAGGGTTAATATTCACGTTTCAATGCACAAAGTGTAGAATGTGCATTATCACCAGCAAAGCGATGGCTGCAATTACAATATTTTAAGATCATCTAAATTATGTTTGCTAGCTACTGGGAGTTAGAATCTATCAATAGCTGAAGCTAGTAATCTACCCACTATTGTTAAAAAATAAATCCTCAAGCCACGATTATATTTTACACTGCCATAGGAGGGATACAAGAAACATATTATTAGAAAGCAGGCAAGACCAGCTGGTTATTACAGGGTGTATGTGCATAGTGGGACTGAGTCCCATAAATCCGTGCTTGTTGGTAAGTATAGTTTTAGATAGGAGGCTGTTATCCTTGAGCAGGTATTCCAAGTGGTTTCATTATGTATGTGTGTGTTTAAACTTGTAGTAAGTACTAATTGATCTACATATCTATTTTACCTGGTGTTGATTTATAATTATTATTACCAGTTAAATATAGCACCAACTTGTTCTGTAGCGCATTACAATATCCTAAAGGTAGGAAATTTAACAGTAAATGAGATAATTAGAAAATGTTACAGGAACAATAGGTTGATGAGAACCTTGCTCAAACAAGCTGACAATCTAGAACAGTTAATATATATATATAATGCCAAAATACCAGAATATTGCAGAAGGCAAGATATTTTTTTTTATTGTACTAACATAATACTTAAAAGACAAGCTTTTCGAGAGTTTTCCTCTCTTCCTCAGGTCTCAAGCAATGCTGCAATATTTATATATAAATCTATGAAAATAGCTTCACTATCGCCTACTGTTTGAGGTTATTTTTGTACAACACTACAACATATGTTGCTGCCACGCTTACATAAGTAACTAACTATGCAGTCATATATCCAAACTATGCAGTCACAAGGCTACTTTGTGTTTTCCTAATTCTAAACCTCCCACCTGCTAGCAAATAAACTACAAGTCCCATGATACAATGACACAGCTCCAACCCCCCTCCTTATTAGATGGGAGGGCGGAGGGGTGTAGCTTTGCCTGTAGGGGCAGGACTAGGTCTGAGTACAAAGCCTTGCCAATTACATACAGCACAGCAAAATCAGCTCTTGAGAGGAGCTTAATGTTACGGCTTGTGTAAGGGGAACATCATTCCTTCAAACTCCTGACCCCTCCAACCCGCTGAGACGCACAGCACATCACCCACTACCTCTTTAGCCATTGCTGCTATCAATCCTGGAGACTTTAGTATTTTTTTTTATTATTTAAATTGGGACTATTTTATATTGTTTGTATATATTACATACATACATATATATATATATATTGGCATTTTACCACCCAAGGATTGCCGTCTTTGGAAGAATTTGAATGTTTTATTAAAACCTGTGTCTGTTTGACAATTTTTTTTATTTTTTATTTTTATTTTTTGACTGGCTGCAATAATGCACACAGTGCAAAAAGACACAACCTTAACTAAAATCTTTGTGGGTGGTCTACCTTATCACACTACGGACTCATCCCTTAGGAAATATTTCGAGGTATTTGGGGACATCGACGAAGCGGTGGTCATTACGGACAGACAGACTGGCAAGTCTAGGGGCTATGGATTTGTAAGTATCTGAAAACCAGAAAAAAAAAGGATTGAAAAACCTATTGTACAGCGCTGCGGACCTTGTTGGTGCTTTATAAATAATAATAATTCCTCACTTTGTTGACTTGTCCTCAGTTTTTAATTTTCTCGCAGTTACGGGAGTTGCAATCCTACAGCTATAACCGTACATGTTGAGCGTACAAATATCTGTACAAGAATTTTACAACAAACTCACTTTTACTATATAAGCCCAAAGGCTGAGAATGTTCTGAACTCTCTGTGGCAGATAATTGTTTATTTGTTTAATCAATTGTGTTTGGATGCATAGTCCATTGTGTCAATGTTTATATTTGCAGTAACATTGTCTATGTTGGTTATTTAAAAAGCTCAAGTATTGCACAGATATTTGCTGAGCAGGCCCCTCTGGCTAAACAAGAATTAGATCATTGCTATTTTTAAAGTTCTAATTTTTTTTTTTGGACATTCCCAAAGTTTAAAGTCCAAATCTCCCCCTAAGGGATTGTACTAGAAGCCTTCCCCAGCAGTTTGGCAGTTTGCTTATTGAAGAGCCTGTGTTGTGAGTGCATACAAACGTTTGTTTGAAAAATAAACATGTTTTTGGTTGATCATATCATTGGCAGCACTGCAGGTCTGTGTGTGTGTGTGTCTGTGTGTGTGTGTGTGTGTGTGTGTCTGTGTGTGTGTGTGTGTGTGTGTGGGTGTCTCAGAATTATAAAATGTTCAGATGTGGTTTAGACTTAGAGGAACAGGTGGAGAACCTCTCCCTGTGTTTTATTCCTCTTGTTTTTGCTCTGAAATCAGAAAGAAAAGTTGAATTAATGACGAATTGTAACCCTTTTCTCCCCAATCATAGTATTAACAACAAATTGCTAATAAATCCCCGATGTGCTTCAAACGTATGTTCGTATACTGCCAAGGAACAAGACGGGGATACTGTCAGACTTCAGTCGCCTCAGTTTTCTCCCTTGTGACCCCCTCCCCCACTTATTACAAAATATATGTTTGACAGACTGTTATCCAAGTCTGGGGTCTTGAAATCCATAATTTATTGAGCACATAAATGTAGTGGCGTTCAGACATTTTATAGGAAGTAATCGAATTTAAAGGGTATCTATTTTTTTTTTTTTCATATTTGCCGAGAGAGAGAGAGAGAGAGAGAGAGAGAGAGAGAGTTTTTTTTGTTTAAATTTCAGGGACCCCTGAAATCCAGTCCTAAAATGTAATTCATGTGTGGGGGTGGGGGGGGTTGGTTCCCCCCCACTCTCTTTTTTTTTTTCTTTAAGTGTTTTGAGCAATGAAGTGTTGAAATGTTCCGTAATAAAGTGAATAGCTAATTGTAAGGATTTAATGTGTTTCCTGTTGGGTGATTGGTTGAATATCCAGGAAGTTTACTGTCCAGTGTCATGGAAACTCAGGCTCGAAGAAAGATGAATTCCAAGGCTTTATATCTTGAGAATCGCAGAGTTTGGATCACTTTATGTATGTTCTGCTCTGAGTGGGTGGACGTTCCTTTAATTTATAATCTCGTCTGTCCATTACTGTCTCTTTAAAGAAGTAGGTGATCTTCATTAAACAACAACGTACTGCGAGAATTCACCCACACAAAAAAATAAATGTAACTGTTTGATGTTTTGTACGGTGATAATATTTCGGCCTAATTTTTTCTTGGTTTCCAACATCTCACAGTATAGAGAATTAAATCCAAGTGGTTCGGATTAAAAATAGATTGTAATGCATCCGGTGATATTTTGTGCCAATTTATTCTCCGTGCCCACCTTGGCAGGGAGCTCATTTTACTCCGTATAGCACTGGTTAAAGTTTGCCAATAAATGCATAGATGCTCTTTGCAAACATCCCATATGGATTTATAGTCTATAAAGATCTGCTTCTAGATTTATAGAATCTCCATATTAAGGAGGGATAAAATGGAACTCGTTACTTAAAATATATCTTAAATTATGATATAAAATCGTAGTGACTCTGCAGTACAGCTACTTAATAATAATAATAATAATAATAATAAATCACTTTCCCACCCTCTTATTAGCGTCTTCTTTTTGGCCATTCCTACGTACTAGCTTCAAAAGTGACAAGTGCTTGATTATGTATTTTTTTGCTCCTTGGCAATCTTATTCTATTGTTATTTTGTTTAATGTTTGGTGATCGAAGTCTGATTATAAACTGCTTTGTAAAAGTCCACACTCCCATGGAGTGCAGCATACAAACCGTACTTAGAAATGTTTGTTATCGTTTTCCACTAACTAGCGAAAGTTATCATGGGTCATTTCTGTATTGTGGCGCAAAAACAACGTCCAATTTGTAAGGTAGGCAATCCTCGTAGCTGTGTTTTATCCAGGGAATTATTTCCCACCAAAAAAGTCCACGCCTCTCCATTTGTATGGAACAGATTCCCTAGCTTCTGGTCCTCTAGCGGCCGGACGTTTAATGTCCATCACGTATTGGATGCGCTAACTGTAGATACACATTGAACTCTTATTCTTTTCTGCCGCAGGTGACAATGTCCGACAGAGCAGCGGCTGACCGAGCCTGCAAAGACCCAAACCCCATCATCGATGGTCGCAAAGCAAATGTCAACCTTGCTTACCTGGGAGCCAAGCCAAGAAATCTCCAAAGTGGTAAGTGGCCATTTCTTCTTCACCACCATTAACATTCTTCCACCTTGCAGGTGGTTTTAGTTCCTAAGTAGATACAGAGTGGAGACCTGAATGTGTCTAGACGTGACTCTCTGTTTAATATCCGTATACAAAGAGTCTCAAACCAGAGAGTTACATCGTCCTCCGGCTTCCGATATGTAAATTAAATGATTCACAAACTCTGTACGAGCCTCATGCCTTATTCAGTCACCATATATGGGGACCTGTCAACGTTTTGACCTTATTTGCCTTTCATTAATGCTATCTATAAACACCTTAAAGTGTGGCTTCATTATAAATTTTAAAAATATTTTTATTTTAATTTTTTTGCTCATCTAACTCATTAATGGGTTAGCACCTTTCCATTTTTAAAATTTTTTTTTAACCAAAGGCCACTTGTTAATGGAAAATTTGTATTAATTGCAACCATAATGTGTCAGATGATGTAATCCTATTGGGTATGACTATGCTAAATGGCACACACTACATGTACACAATGTATATTGAGAACAGGTAACCAATGCTTACTTTGGATATCCTTATCTATAATCTGCGTTATGTGCACTTTATAATGAGGTCATCTGTAAAATAGGTCTGCTGACCTGCTATAAGATATTTTGTGCGTGATGGTAAATGTATCTAAAGCGGATCTTTTTGCTGTATTTCTCACAAAACTAAAAATCAACAAAGCAGAACAGCCAGACCCTATCTTAAAGGGGCTTTGTCGTGCCAAGTCCTGGGCTAACAGGTTAGCAGATGGCATTGCTTGTCCACCACTCAGCATCTCAGCTGCCCCAAAAACAAAGCATTCTGGGATAGATTGCAGAAATTACACTTACATACAGCGTAGCAGATCGCTACAGTGGCATTTTAACTGTGTTCTTGGTAAAAGTTTATTATTAAGTAATGTGTTTTTTTTTTTGTTTTTTTTAATTATCTGCCCTTTCGATGCGCTGCTCATACCCATTACCGTGCCTAGACTAACTGAAGTCTTATCTTACACACAATCATTAAATGAATTCCCTCTGTCCATGTTTTTTTTTGTAGGTTTTACCATTGGTGTTCAACAGTTACATCCAGCCTTCATTCAGAGACCATATGGGTAAGTTTCAAACATTGCTATGAAGGTCTATCAGGGTTAGTCACTACACTGGAACTGACCAGGGAATTGCAAGCTCTTAGGCCGACATAGAAGAATGAACAAAAGGAAATGAAAAATTCTCCAGCTTTGCTGTCTGTCCAATTCTGCTATTTAATAATACAATCAAACTAGTTGTTTTTTTTTTTTCAATAAAATATGAATTCAAATTTTAAAGCTAAAATAGCTGGATTCAAAATATTCTCAGTCTATGATTTAATTCTGGATAATTTAGAGTTGATTTCTTATTTTTTATTTTCTTTGAATTCACAGCTTATTGAATAACCCTGAAAGTTTCTGCATTGAGATTGCCCTTTGTTATTACCCAACTTAATGATTCCTCTTTTATTGACCTTGGAAGGATACAAGGCTGTGAATCTAACAGTTGTTAATTTTTCCTGTTTTGGAAACCTATCCACTGAGCCATCTCGCCGGCTATAGAAATTCCAATTCCCAGGTCACTTCCCAGTTTTTGTAAATAACCCTGCTTCTATATAATTGTATAATCTTATAGATGACTATAGGGTTTTCTTACTACATTGGTCTAAAATGATGATTATTTGATTAATTCACAAAGTAATTGGGACAATAAAACTCTTCTTGTTGGTGTCTGTGTTTTTATTTTTTTTATATCATCCTATACCAAATTATATTTCTCATGATGTTTTGATGTCTGCGGCTTTGTGTGCATGTATTTTATTTAGTTATTTTGTATCAACATTCTTGTATCCGCGTTGCTTCTCGATGCTGTTGGCCTTCCAGTGCCTGGAGTCTGATGTCTTTAGGATTCTTCCAGCTCTCATCCCAGCTGAATATGGCGCGTGTTAGTCTGAACCTGTTGTGGAGGCTGGTACTTCGGATCTTGCGATTACTAGCTTGTTAGGAGCCGTTGAAACAGACTAGACAGATGTTCTGCGAGGCCTCTCGCTGCCTGCTATAGTAGGCTATTGTCTGGCCCTTTTCAATGGCTTATCCCCCCTCCTTTTATCCCTGTCTCTCTACCACACTACAAAAAAAAAGGGCTCTAATTGGACCTAGCAGCTGTTCTAGAAAGCACGGGCGAGTCCGAATCACAATAGCTGCCAAAACAATGCCTACGTTTAACTCCCTGGGGCACGGCTTACTTTGCACATAACCTTGCAAGCCATCTAATGGCTCGCCGGCCTCTCCGGCAGCTACACGGTTAAAGGTGCTGTCAGACAAACCAAGGATAGAGCCAGCTGTTACTGTGTTTATAACTTTATTTATGAAGCACCCAGTGAGCTGATCTTTTTACAAAAGAAACATTCAGGGGATTGAGACGGTATAAAGCAAAACTTCATTTATGCAGTAAATGACAATGGTAGGCAGTATCTGGGCTGAGGAGCTTGCAATCTGTAATACAGGCTTAGCTTACTAGAGCCACTTGTGATTTAAACATTTAACCTCAATACATCACGTACTAAAAGAAATTAGTAAGTATTGTAAATTTTACTCCAGAACCCCTTTTTTTTTTTTCTGTGAATCTTAAATTTATTCCTTTTGCCTTTATAAAACCTCCTAATTTTCTGTAGGTTAGATGTCCACCCCCCCAAATGGATTTATTACCTAAATAAAGTGATTTCTTGAGATTTAAAAAACTGGATTGTGATTATTTAAAACAAAATTCAATTATTAGGGAAATATAGCTGAATGGATTCCCCCCCTACCCCCACCCCCCCCTTGCATTTTCACAACTTCGGCAATTCCATATATTAATTCACCACAATTGCCATTTTATTGAATAACCCAAAGGCTGTAGAAGACCTAAAATATGTCAGACAGGGAAGTAGTCTGCAAAATTAACATTTATTTATTTATTTTGGTTTCCCGGCAAGTCTCGAATATGATCTGTACACTATTCTCTCTCTGTCCCTATACCACATTTTGTTTTAATATCAAACACTTGTCTTGTTACCATAACAGCATAGATCAGATAAGCACTGTGTATACTGTGCCCCTTTGGAGAGGTGAGTGTGTTTTGTGTTTTTAATGACTGTAAATGTCTGACCCCAGGTCAAGGGAAGAGCTGATATATTAGGATTTATACAGAGTCACTCGTCCAGCATCCTGGAGATTTAAACAGCCCATTGAGCGTATTGCTACTGTACCATCTAATCTGTTCTTGGATCCAAATACTCCTCTTTTGAGACCTGGAAATAAAATGCTTTTTGTAATGGAAATCGTTAACTCCTTAAGTACTTTAACCCCTTTATGTCAAGGGGTCTGGCAAAAGAAGAATTAACCAATTTGATGCTGTAGGATAAAGTGGGCCCTCAGCTGGCTGCCTAGTTCCTCCTTTGTTCATTATAATATGGGGGTACAGTTCTGTACCCCAAACCTTTGTACTAGTAAAACAGATTTATGTCTGCAAATATTTATAGCCGTTAAAGTTTTGCGGTTATAGCCCCCCATATAAATACGTGCTGGGCCTTGAAGAATCTGCAAAAAAAACTCCCCACATCAGCCAGCGTTGCTTTGTTTTTTTTTTTTTTGTTTTTTTTTATACATTTTGTAAAAAATGTTATTTACATGAAATCTAAAAAAAACAACACACATGGTATAAAAGCAAATTTTTAGAGTTTTTATTATGCACCGAGGTGGTTAGAAAGTTTTTACATTTTATTAATTTTTATTTTTTGTAATTATTTTACAATTTTTTTTAAATTTTTTTTAAATATATATTTTTTATAGAAGATGTTTTGATGGGAACAGTAAGAACATATCCATTTTTATTACACGTTTCTTTGGAGTGTTTGTCCTTCAAGTCTCCACATTGAGTTAGATTTAAAATGCAGATGTGACTTTTGTTTTAAATCCACCCCACCCCTGCCCTCCTCCCCCAATTCCCTCCTCCTATTCCCTCCTTTCCTGGTGCCGAATATTTAATGTAAATTCTGACTAAACACAGGCTTGCTAAATACACCCTTCTCCCCTTGCAGTGAAGGCTTTTGTTCCTTTGTGTGTTGGTAAATAAATGTCAGATTATTTTTAAATAAGTTACTTATTCTCCATGAATTCCCCCCCACCTTCTCTGCTCCCTCCCGGTCGACAATCCTTTTCTAATAGACTATCTGGGCTCTGCAGAGCTGGGACTGTTATCTCTCAGCCAATTGTCTGCCAGGACTATACTGATTATCATACAGATGTATCCACACCCAACTGGGGGTGAAGGGAAGGGGGGCGTAGCATGTAGTGCCTATCACAACAAATTGCTGGGGATCTCCGGTCATTTGCTCTGTGGCCTGTGATGTGTAAATGAGAGTTTATCTCCAGCTCTCTCTCATGTCTGTATGTCAGCTGGCTCCCCAATCTACCAGGCCACTGTTTCCACAACTACAAGTGACAAATTTGCATTTCACAAGCCCTCAAATCTATCACCCTGTGTGAGGTAAGGATATCACACTGATAGGTGATATTTTACACCTATGGACTTTTCAAATTTCCTGTTGATTTTTAGTGAGGCCACATCTCTCTCTCTCTCTGTGTGTGTGTGTGTGTGTGTGTGTGTGTGTGTCTCTGGACATGTAGCAATTTTGATATTCAGTTGGGTATTGAATGAAAAGGGATGCATAAAAATACAATTCATATCTTGCAAGCGAAATACATAAACAAATCAGTCAACTGCGTTGGGCCACTGTAAGCTTTTAACCTCTAGAAATGGAGTCTGAGTAGTTTATACAGCCAACCTCAAATTAATATCGAACTGCTTGATCTAAATACAGGCATACCCACTTTTAAGTACACAATAGGACCAGAGCATGTAAATGTAAAACAAAAATGTACTTTAAGTGAAGCAATACCTTTATTCACTTCCCAATGCATGTACTGCATTGCAATGAGAAGTAATTACAGGCATAACTAGTATGTGGTGCTAAGGAATTGGTATAACCCGAGGGGCGAACGGTGTGCAGCACCTACATTCAGCACCTCCACACTCTGCATGAGCTGTAGATATTCCCCACATGGAGATACATTGATTCACTGCATCTCTATGAGGAGATGCTGATTGGTCAGTAGCATTTTGCAGCCAATCCTATGGCAAACATTGGATTGTGAGATCGCTTGATGATCTCAGATATAGAAGGAAGGAGCCAGTCAGGAAACCCAGCGGCGTGGGGAAAAAAAGGTGAGTTAAAACACTTTATTCCTTGCCAAAGGAAGGGGTTCAGGTAACCTAGACTTACCTGCGCATACACCATGACGAACACTGTACACATACAGAGCAGACTGCAAACAGACAGGCAGACACACACACATACCATGACATAGACACACCATGACTCTCACATTATTGCTATATGTGGGGTCAGTGGTGTTTCGGTCAGGGGATTGTGTGCAGGCAGGTGGCATGCTGGGTGGTGGAGTGCCTTGGGGTGGCGTCTGGCTGCAGAATAGGGAGCTGTGCGGTCTCTGCTCTGCTCCCCAGCTGGCCCAGCAATGAAACTGGGCGGGGAGCAGGCATAGACTGCTGGAGTCTCCCTGGTCCTGCCAGCACACCAGCTGTCTGTCTGGCCCCAAGTGCCATTATTACAGGAAATTTCCAGTATCCTGGTGGGCATAACTGATATAATCACTGTAATGCATTTGTAACTAAAATAAACACAATATTACAAGAAAATTGTAAGCTTACCCCTATTTGATTGTTGTCATTAAGGCCAGGGCAGCCTAGAGAATTTATTGTAGTAGGAGGATGAAGGCATACGGTGTCTTTGTTTCCCCAAATTAAGTCTTCTAGGCAGAAATAATTTTCTTGCTGGCAAATTGGGTGTTCTACAAGTAGCAATCACAGTAGGAGCAGGATGTGGTGCTGATGTCAGAGCTGGAAATGGACTGTTAGTTGATGATGATCTGGGATCAAAATGACGGTCAGTCAATGTTGACGATCTGTGTGTTGATGGACTTAGAGAAAAGTGTCTATGGAGGTTTGAAGTGCAGCTCTCTTCTTTTCCCTGTAAATTTCTTTGTAACAGGCATGAGCCCCTGAAATGTTAGCATTGACTTTGGAACTTCATTCAAAATCCCTTTTAATGCTTTTTAAAAAGAGCCATGGCGCTATCAAGATAACGGAAAGCTTCAAAGAGAATTTTTGTAGTTAAGCCTTCCGGCTGTTCCATGATCTCAACCCCATCCTGCACATCTTCTCTCTCCTCTTCAATTTCTAGAAGATCTTCATTGCTGAGGGGCTCAGTATGGGACGCAAGCAGTTCAGCAACATCTTCTGGCTCCACTTCCAGCTCTAACTGCCTTTGCCATCTCTACAATCTTTTCAGTAACATTAGCTACATCATCTTCAAAGCCTTAGGAATAATCAACTAACTCTGGGCATAATTTTTTCCAGGCCCTTTTCATTGTGGTTTCCTTTGTCATTCCAAGCATCTCTTTTGGATAGGACTTCGTTACCTGCTCCTTCTTCTTTGACTATTGCTGCAATACACTTACTGAATGTTCTCTTTAAGTAGACCAACTTGAAGGCGGGTATGACACCTTGATCCATGGGCTGCAGTAGTGAGGTGGTATTTGTTGGTAGTAATTGCCCTTGAATGTTGGGGTTCAGCTCATGTAGCGTTCAAGGGTGTCCAGGGGCATTATTGACAAGCAGCAAAATGTGTAAAGGTATATTGTTGTCCTTGCAATAGGCTTTCACCTCTGGAACAAAGCGGGCGTGAAACCAGTCTTCAGAAAGGGCTGCAGTTACCCATGCTTTTCTGTTAGCTCTCCAATGCACTGGAAGTCTAGTTTTAATGTAGTTCTTCAAAGCTCTCGGATTTTCCCATCAGTAAATTAGCAAAGTCTAGGTACCAGGTATAGGTTTAGGTGTCTGCAGCAGCTGCCTCTCCTTGTACTCTAATATTATAAAGGGTAGACCTTTTCTTGAACCTATCAAACCATCTATGGCTTGCAGAAAATTCTGCATCCTTTGCTGCCTCACCTTCCTTAGCCTTCAGGAAATTGAATAGGCTTAAGGCTTTAATTTGTACCATTGCCTGGTTGACAGGAACATGGCGTGTAGTCTGATTTTCTATCCAAAGTATTAAGAGTCTCTCCATGTCTGCAACAATGCTATTCCTTTTTTGAATTTTTGTGTTAACGGGTGTAGCACTCTTAATTTCTGCCAGAATTTTTTCATGATGGAGTTAACTGTAGTCCGAGTGAAGCCTAGCCGTCGGCCTATCTCAGCTTGAATTACACCATCATACAATTTAATCATTTTAGCCTTCATATCCAAGGTAATAGATTTACGGCTTTTTTTTGTATCAGCCATTATTGACGTACAGTACATAATGGGTCCCTGTATACCTGTACCAATCAAAAGAACAAATAGAAGTTCCTAAAATATGTACTGTAACTGTATTTCAAAATTATCCCTAAATTATTAGGCTTCAATTCACAGACTTGTACATTTTTACTATTTCAGAGGGCCAGGGGCTGTAGTGGGGGGCTGGGAGGGAGGGTCAGAGCCTATAGTGAGGGGAGCCATGGGCTGTAATTATAGGGGTCAGGGGGACGCTAGTATTCTTGGGGGTGGGGGCCAGGGGCTGTAGTGGGGGGGTCAGGGTGTGAAGGAAAAATAGGTTTCACCAAATACTGTACAGTAAAATGTACAGGTAATACACTTACGTTTATGCAGGTTTTTGGGTGGTGGGCGACTCAGAACTGGCTGGCGGACAGCCTCTTCACTGGCAGCAACTCTGGGCATCAGCTCTGCCTCTTCAGAGTCTCTGCACAGCGTGGGAATGTCTGTACTCGCGAGGCACTTTACGTACACTCGTGAATGTACATAAAGTGAGGGTACGTAAAGCGGGGTACTTTGAGAGACCGTCCCCTTCTCAACCGCATTGATAACGAAGAATTAACACCTCCGTATTATCGGTCAGATTTGTTTAATGCACACCGGATGATCTTGTGTCTAAATTGACCTAGATATTGCAGCAGTGTTAATTCCACCTTACTTATGTGGCCAAGGAGCCAGGAACTGTCACCGTTTATATTAAACCATTTGTAAACTGATTCATATTAAACCAAGGGAACTGTACGCAACATAACTCCTGCAGTCAGCTGTAGGCTGCCCCTTTAGTTATGGTTTTCCTTTCTGTAGCATATGAATGCTATATACTGCAGGATGAACCTTTTTTTTTATGTGCTGTCAATCAGCAACAAATGAAGTAATTAATGCACAGGATAACCTGGCACGCATGTGCGGAGGTAGTGTTAAGATGTTTTCCTGGAAACTTACAATTTGTATATTTTTACGAGTGGTACATCTCTGCCGTATGGAGAATTCAAATGCAGGTTGAATGTGAAGTCATTAAAGGTCCACTGCCACAGGCTGTTGTTTGTGGTGCTTGGAGAGCTCAGGTGCAAATTAACTCCATGTTTGGATGGGAATCGCTACTTCCCAACAAGAAAATGTGATACAATTCTCTGGGAACCGGACATGGCAACCAATCAAACAGTCAGGAGCATTTTAATAGTTTCCATGGCAACCACCGCAATCTGATAAATTTAACAGGGCTAGTGACCAGATTATAATGGACAGCATTGGGTCTGTCTCGTATAACGCAATGCCCTTGGTTTGAAATGTGTGCTGCCTGTATATCTGACTGTTTCTGTATCAGAACTCCATATCAGGGAACACTGTAGTGGTTATTGTGGTTTTCTCAGAAAACTCAAATCACCTTACTAATTTACACTATCGAGCGGGAAGCTTAGACCCCCTTCATCCTCCAGAACTGGTGAAAGAAAATGGCTGAGGCTTAGACCCTATCCTGCTCCTGTACAATCCGTAGTATGAGGAATGTGCTTCTATATAAAAAACAGCCAGCGAGCAGAACTTTCATAATTCAATCTCTCTTGACCACTAATAGGACAGACAGATCCACTGTGTGTTTTTTTTGTTTTTTTCCCTGGACACCCATCAACTCTTCATGGCATGCAGCGCATGAAAAGTTCTGCCCTGGAATATGTAGAAGTGATACACTGCAGGATTGCTCCTTGACATTTTATTTATTGCATGCAGCATGTGAATTCTGCATACAGCAGCGCATTTCATGTGTCGAGGAAATATGGTGGCTCTAGAAGCCCGACACACAATACCAGCTGTCTTAGATACGTGGGCGGGACACCATGGACGATTATGTGCCGTATCTTGTCCTGTTTATGTAGTTAAACGATTTTTATTTACATTGTATCAATCTCAATGGGAGGTAGAGAGTGGTGTGCACTCCCAGTCTGGATGTGTGCGTAGTTCGCTCTGTTATTGGCCTGTTAGGGATACCCATCATGGCTCACTTGTTGGCATCGGCCTGTACAGCAGCAATCAATGCCCCTTGTATGGGGCCTGTCATTAAAGGTGCACAGCACAATGCCTTCTATGGAGATGGTATGTTAATAGCAGGAAAATCTTTCTTTAAAACGTAAAAGAGGGCATATACATTGACAACCGCAGGTTGTATGTAAACACTTTTTCGCTAATGCACTCTCTTAAATCTGGGCACTGGAGAGCTGTTGGTGTGTCCCATTCTCCTCCTGACGTGTTATGGAATCTATGTGAAGTGTGGGGAGACTTTATTGACTATTCAAAGAGTTTCATTTCTGAACCAGACACCATCTTCTGGGACAGGCAGGGATCAGGCCATGGGGAGCCAGGCCAGCATTTCATAGTGCCCAGTCGGCTTTGGTTTGCTAAGGATCATGGGAATTGAAGTGTGCAAACTAGCTTTGCTTTTTTAGGGTACATTTTACCTCCCAGGTCCCACCATCATATAATGGGCTTCTCAGAGACTAAGTATGCTGGCTAAGACAAAACAACTACTCCTGGAACAAAATAATAATTTTTCTTTTTTTTATAATTTATTTTTTTTCTTCACCGCTTTAATTTATTAAATGTTTCTAGTGTCAAAAGCCCATTGCAGGGAGAAAGCGCTTTGTGTGTGTGTGTATGCATAATGTGGCATTCTGGCTGTCGTGGGTGAACATTCGCTGACAATGGTCTGTTTGACTTTTTTTCTTTATGTAATCGGACTCCCCCATGTGCCTGAATTTATTACAATCCCCCCAGCCCTGCTTGATAAATCTCTATCTGTAGTGTCTACACTGAACCCGAACACAATGAAGGAAGGGGTGTTTGTTTTGTGTTAAGTACTTCTCAACAAACAAACTGACATGAAGGGGTTAATGATGCCCACCCATTGTAAGACCATAGAAATTGTGTATTGATTCCACTGATCCCCTGAAAGGTGAAGACGCCTTGCGTGTCGCAAAGGTTCATATTTTTTTGAAAGTCCAGTGTGATGAAATGGACATTTTAATAAGGGGGAGAATAATTCTAGCCTGCGGGCATGTGATATAAGACTTAAAAAAACTTCATTTCTGTTGGTTTGTTTTTCATTACTTATCCTAAAAGCAGAGCTTCAGAAATTTAATTGTGCAGAGCATGGGTAGGATTTGGGAGATTCTAACATTGCAAGAATAAGGTATTGCTGTCCAAACTTGTGTTGTACCCCCTCCTCCCACTCAATATTGTTTATAAACTTATTGACTTTTTGAAATGCTCTGAAACTATCACTAAAATAACAGTATTATATAATTTCTGTCTGTAAACCACTTGAATGCCCTGTATTGAAATGATCTAGAGCAGAGTTGTCTGATTCTATGTCCCACCCCAACCCAGTGCAGTTGGTCTGCGACTTCCATAATCCTCTGCCCATTTATTGCCATCAAAGAAACAACTTCTGGGATGGTCAGAGTCTGGGGGTATTCTGTATTAAGTGCGGTCCTAGGGCAGTGTTAAAAATATGGAGCTATTGCCATGGAAACCAATGGAACGTTGCAGTTTCAGAATGTTGTCTATTATCAAGAATGCTCATGTTACACAGTGGGTTAAGGCCGTGACAGGATGAGCGTGATATGCGTGATGGCACGTGAGGGGTTTCTAAAAGTGGGAGTCGTTGAGCGTTTTTTTAAAAAAAACGTCCCTCAGAGTTTCCACTACATGTATTATGTTGGCCGAGTTACGGAATAACACAGGAAGCAAATAACAATTGAGTGGAAGGGGAGGGTGAATATGACCCGGTGACAGATACAGGGAGGGGACAAAGAATATCACATGAGGACAATTTGTTTAGAAACTTGGTGTATACAGTACATGCGATTTCAATTCTGGACGAAAAAACAAATCCCATTATTTTATTCCTCATCAGAAAAACAGACTTTAAAAATTACGGTCTAGTTTGCTGAAGACGAAGAAGAAATGGTAGCAGGTTTGAGCTATACATCCTAACTGGACAGCTTTGCCTTTTCCGTTGGTATAAATTTACAATTTGATGGATATCTACAATAGACGGTTCTTATGTATTTGATTTACCTCTAATTAAATGTTGTTGTATTTGCTGTCTAAATAGGAGTCGCAGTACAGAAATGCCAAGTTCTGATATCAAATGTTGTTAATTGACCGTATAACGTAGCCTGTGTGTGTGTATAGTATATCATCATAAAGAAGGTATTTAAACCAAGTTTGTTTATTTTAATATTTTTTTTTTTTTTTTTTGTGTTTCACAGGTTGACGCCACAATATATCTACCCACCCGCCATTGTCCAGCCAAGTGTGGTCATTCCTACACCCATACAGTCCCTCCAGAATCCATACATTGAGTACAACGCTGCTTCCCAAGCTTACACCCACTACACCACCGCGGCCTATGAACCGTATCCGTACGCTGCATCCCCTGCTGCAGGGTTTGTAGGCTATGGATACACGAACGCAGTCCAGCAACCTATGTCTGCTACCACCACTGGAGCAACCCCTGCCACTTACATACAATATCCAGCTCAGCAGCTGCAACTTGACCGTATGCAGTAAAACCAGGACAATTTGGATTTTTGGGGAGAGCAGGGGGGATTTTTTTCCTCCTACAGCAAACACAGCAGAGATTTTTTTTTTTTTTTTATTAACTCAAAGAGGTATAAAGACTTAAGCTGTATATGGGTACCTAGACTTTTTTTTCCTGTCATATTACAAAGTTGGAGCCTCTATACATTTTAATATTTTATTGGCATCCTGAAAAGGATTCTGGGTAAAAGCAGAGACTTAATGGAGAGGAAAAATGATTGGTTGAAAAGACAGAGAAATCTTCCTCTTTCGAAATAAAAAGAAAGGAGCCTTTACTTGAGATATTCTGAACAAAGAAAGCAATTTTTTATTTTTTTTTCCTACGAACTATAATACTCAGTGATGCCTTATAGAAATAACTATTTTTGAATATTTATTGCAACTTTTTTCCTGTTCACCCAACCTGTGAATTGCTGAATGAAAGTCAGGAGTAAGAATCCATCTTATTTTCTATATGTATATATTTTTTTCTCCTGCTAAATTATATGGTAGGACTATAATTATTATTATTATTATATTTTTTTTTTAAAATTGCTGACTGTTTCGATATGCAACTGATGGAGAATGGACTAAGATTTTGTGCTGGTGTGGCGCAAGTTGCTAGCCAGAAACTCTGGAGTCAAAGGCACTGTACTATTTTATTATTGTAACTTAATTTAGTTCAGATAGGTATATTTAAAAAAAAAAAAAAAAAAAAGCCTTCACAATGTATAATTTCTAAGGTCTTGTTATTGATAATGTAGATCAATATGCAGTATTTATGTAAAAGCAACATTTTACGCCAAGGGAATTGCTACTAAGACATGTCTATAAATGCAAAAAAAATTACATTTATGGAAAGCAAGCAGCATTCATTTTAAATCAGCTGTGTCGTATATTACATGACTTTAATTTTATAGGGAAGTTTCAATTGTATATAATTTAGTATAATTATTATTTTTTTTGCGATCATGATGTAAGTAGGGCTGTTTTATTATGGGATGGGGGTTGGAACGAGTAATTAAATCTTGAAGCAATGACCAATTGCATTGCCCTCCTCTAGCACTGACAGAGAATTAGTAGCATACAAGGTTAATTAACATTTTTGTTTTTTTTATATATATATATGTATATATATATATATATTTTTTTTTTTTTGTGCCAGCCAATAGGACATATCAGGGCACTTGGATCTAGCTGCCAAATTAAACTGGGAATTAGATGCTACAGTGACCCATGTCACCATTTCAGAAGGTTTTTTTTATTTCAAAATAGGGCCTGGGGTTGTGAGATCGGTTGCCCACTGTATGTCCTATATGTCATTAGATATCACTCAGAAGAACAAGAATATATTTTAGTGAGTGCCTATGGGTGACAACACAGTGGTTGTGGTTCTCCCCCCTCCCTGACAATTGACATTATATATATATATATATATATATATATATATATATATATATTATTATTTTTATTTTTTTTCAACTTGCTACTTTATAGTGAATAAACTGGCTGGCTTGTAGTAGTGCAGTTGCTTGTATCATACACTCAGGGACTTTTACGTTTGCTGCTCTGTAGCCCTTCTCGTTAATCCAGCATTTGTTTGCGTTGTCTACACTGAGCAGATGTTACCCGAAGTAGGTTGAAAGCCCTGTACCATAAACAAATGTAAACCCTTAATTGGTAGTGGTTTGTTGAAACATAATATCAATCTTGAGATGTCTGCGCTCCGTAATGAGGTTAGCTGAGAAGCCTAGAATATTTTTATCACCGGTCCTTAATCTTCTATCCTGACATATTTAGATGTGTGGAGCTTGTAGGTCCCCTTTACGATGAAACGTCTGTTAAATAATGCTCCCTTTCATCATTTGCCCTTCTATGTAATAAACCTCCATTTATGTGTAACAAGGCCAGATGATCCCCTTGTCATCAGTACATGTGAAACTGTAAATGTTTTTGTAGCTCGCAAATCTCTGCCATCGCATGAGGATCGTAGACTTGTGGTCTGTTGTCTATACTGAAACCAGTGCTTAATTCTAATGCCCAGTTCATGTCTGCTGTTTGAGAAGTCTACAGTGCTCCAATAAGGGCATAGTCTAAGACTTCAACATTAACCATGCAAGCTTCCAAACCGGGCATAGAATAACTTTCTGACAATGATTGCACTAAAGGGCTCACAATCTGTTTTTGAGCCACAGTTATCATATTTATTTAAGAGAACTCTAATGCTGTTTGTATATTTGTGAATGTCCGAAAGGTAAAGAGAAATAGACCACTTTTCAGCAATGATTAAACTCTGTGTTTAAATAGGATAACGATAGGGCTAAGACACTTGGGGTTGGAGGGATGCATTTGGAACATGTTGGAATAGTTTCTCATATTGTTCTTCAAAAAGTAGCACAACGGAGTTCAGATAAGGATGTCCAACACAGGAGCCACTGGTGGGCTGTAGAGATTGTTACTGTGCCAATGAGTGTACCCTGTTTAGCGAAGAGAACATTATGTGTTGGTGCAAGAGAATATCAAGACTTGTTTGTTCTCATCCATTAAAGATTGCATTTAGTTTAGTTTTTTTTTTTCATTTTTTTATATCTTTTCAAAAAAAGTTATTTTTCCAAGAATTAAAACTTGGTTTGTTTTCTTGGGATAGAATCGTTCTTAACACACTCATGTTTTTCGTGGCCAGATTTTATTTGGTATAATACTTCTCTTAGTAAGTCTGTTAATAAATTTTGTTCTGTACAACAACATCGTGAGAAAAGGCTATGCAGCATAACCCCTTTAGGACCAAGGATCGGTAGATCTCGTTGGCCTAACAGTCCCGACGTGTTGATCTTGAAAGGGTTCAAGACAACAAGCCAAAGGTTCAAGCCAAGTTAACGGAGTGTAGAAATATCCTAACCAACACGTACATTGTGTTGGTAACACAAGTGAATAATGTACAGTGTGAAGCCAAAAAATGTTCAACCCACAACATTCTCCTTTGAAAAAGGTTTATTTGCATATTAGCATACCTAATTTGCATATGGGGACGCAGGGTGATAGACATTTTTGAAATAAGGACCCTTTATATTTCACAATTTGTTGTCTGCTGTTGCACTTGTTCTTGTGTATGGTATGGTTGTATGGCTATATTGTGTAATAGTGTGAGGTAGATGACTGAGCCCACTCCTGTAACGGAGTTTATAAAACTGTGGGTTGCAGGTTAGACATGCCTCGAATCGTTTTGAACGTTTTATATGTAACGTAATAGATTGACCCATAATTCCTTCATTTTATACATCATCCAACTGTCCCTGGTTGTGTACTTAGTCCTGCTTACTGCCCTGTTCTTAGACACTTATCAGTCATAGTTTCACCTACAATCTGATTTAATATCACGAGAACGATTATTTCTAGAGAATGCTTTGCCGGAATCATTGTTCCCGTGAAATCCATTCTTGGTTGAATCTTTGTTAATATGCTGCATTGCAAGTTCCTTTAGCCTGTCCTAGGATCTGAGTGTAGGTAGCTTAGCGAGAACTTTCTACGCACCAAAAATGGATGGGGGGGAAAGTTGACAGTGTGTTTACGAACTCTCACTAAACCAAGAGTTGGACACATTCAGGACTATTTACTAAACCAAGAATTGTTAGGAATTTTACATTTAAAGCCGATGTAGCTGAACTGGAAAATATCTCCATGTCAACTATGCTTCTACTCGGTCACTTTCGCCCACCCAACTTTTTTAGAAGTCCAACTCTTGGTAGATTGATAGAAATTCAGCCATTGTGACCCTGCCAGCCAAAAGCAAGTGGCAGTGGTGACATCATTGAGTAGCTTAGCTTAGAAATTTGGGGTCACTGGGGCAATTCTTCGACATATACGTATTCCATGGGAGTTGTAATGGAGTGGTGGAGTAATTTTATGGACCTTATCTTTGGCCCTTTGCCTAAATGTTGGGGTCTATTGACAAATAAAAATGGAGATTTCACATAGTTTACACATACACTGCTAATGGACTCCATCTTGGTGCAATTATAGTTTCTTATGTATATAATACTACATGTGTGTAAATAGATTTTTTTTTTTTTCATTTTTATTTAACCTCCAGGCAATCTGCTTGTACTGAAGGCTGAAACCTTTTTACAGTGACTGTTAGTCCCTAAACTCCGTAGAACAGGCAAGGCTGAGACGTATTTCCCCCAGCTCGTGTAGGACTACAACACCCATGATCCTTTGCAAACTACTGGGTAGTTATACACAATTGGAGGATTCCTCATTTTCACACCTGATGTAAGGCACAAGAATAGAAATGGAAATTACTGCTTTAACACAGGTGAAGCAGATTATTTTGGAAGATTTAATGGCAGGAATATAAATTACGAAGCTTTAGGAATTTTGGAGAAATGGCAAATATTAAGCAAAAATAGCCACATTTGGGGAGGGGAGGGGAGGGGAGAGAAAGCCCTTTAGTTCAGAGTGGCTGATTTTGGAGTAAACAACTCAATGTTCTTATTTCTCTAATTCTCTTTTTATAAAATACAACACAGGGGTTTATTTACTAAGCAGTAAATAGTGGTGGATTGCAACACTCCAATTAAAGCAGCCTGGCTGTGAATTAAACCCCGTATTGGTGTCTTTGTTTCATGCAGTGGAGACTGACACACACAGTTCTGCTGAATTTCACAGTGAGCGAGAGATGAGGAAGCACAAACATTATTCTGTTGAGGAGAGAACACTAATAGGGTGCTAATGGATTTTTAGAGTTCATTAATTTAATGTTACCAAAAATAACCTGCTGCTTTAACAGTGGAATTGTAAACTTTAAAAATAAAAAAATAAAAGGCCGAATCTAGATTTTATTTTTTTTATTTTTTTTTAAATCCCCCCCATCCCCACCACTTGGCAAAAACCTGGCAATGACATAACTCAAGCCTAGACAGCTCTGTTGCAATAGGCCAGGCATAGGCAACCTTTGGCACTCCAGACGTTTTGGACTACACCTCCCATGATGCTTTGCCAGCATTATAGGGGATGTAGTTCACAACATTTGGAGTACCTTAGGTTGCCTATTCCTGCAATAGGCAAATACTATTTTTGCTTCAAATATTATTTGAAATGGTTCATTAAAGGGCCTGCCTTATATGCTAAATATTGTGCAAGAAACTGTATACACTGATATTCTTGGTTTTGCAAACAAATGTAAACCTCAACCTGTAACTTTAAGGAGGCCCCACCTCCTGATGACATCATTGTGCAGATTCATATGCAAATTTACTACTGCAATGCCAAATAATCACTGCGAATGTATCTTTTTTTTTTTTTCCTTGTGAACTATACAGTGGGGTTTACTCACTATATGACGAATTGTAGCAAATTGAATGGTAAAATTAAGGCTAAACTAGCTCATCTTAAAGTTTTTGAAACTTTTTTGATATAGTCACAGCTTGATTATCTTAGCCTGAGTTAGGCCTTTTGGATTTTCAGTTTTTTAAATTTAGACAATAAGCCACTTCGTCTGACTTCTAAAATATAGAAGCCCCCCATTTAGCGGTGAGAAAATAACCAACCCTTTTGGTAAGAAATTCTTTTTATTATCACGTCTTAAAATTAGGATCCAGTATTAAACTATTTTATTTCCGATCTTTAAAACTTTCTGGTGAATAAATTTGTAAGAATTTTTCCTCTTATATTTGCTTCCTGTAAAATGTTTCTCAAATATGACTTGAAAACCACCCACTGTTTCGTAAGGAAAGAAAAAAGTGCATTTAAAAAAAGAATAAAAAAAAAAAATTTCCATTGCAACTGTGTTGTGTTTTTATTTTGGTAAACATTTTAATGATAAATCAATGGCAAACGTGAACAGCATAGAACGGCATTTGACGTAAGTATAGAAACGTCAAAGTATAACATTAAGCAAAATTGCAATACATGTCGAGATTACTGCACGATTTGTTTAAATTTTAGGATGCATAGATTAGGAAGAAGTTTATAAAACAAAATGGAAAAAATTAAAGCATGGTACAAGCCTGTGTGTAGAGTTAAACAAAAATATAAACCGAACACATGCATGAGATATATATTGTAACCAGAGACTGGGTATGTGACTACGGTGACCATGTCCCATGAGATGGAACATGTATAGAGAGGACACTCGGTAAACAAGTCCATTGACTTAACTCCTATTATCCTATGCCCTCTCGGTGTACATCACAGTCCTACAAGGAGGTGACTTGTCAGTGGGCCACAGGCTCAATCAGTGACAAGGTGCCAGACCGTGATGAGTTTGAGTGATGGCCCAGAGGCATTTGTAATGGCTTCCTCGGCAAGTATGGCGCTGGCACCTGGTGTGCATAGAGTCCTGGTAGTCCACAACAAATGAGGGCAGAACGACAGAGTGGGGGAGACCGCGTGAGGTTTGTTAGGCAGTAGATAGGACTGGCCGCCTCTCACCCTCTGTAGGCAACAGGTCTGCCCCAACGAGATCCGCAGAACTGTCAGAGCCACTGGAAGAACAACCACCGTGGGGTCCACCTGGTTACCAAGTAGTAGCTTTTGCTGCTCAAGGGCTCTGCCCCTCGGACAGTGCATTTCTAATGTCAGGAATTCAAAGTGAATATAAAAGTTTATCAAAATAAATTTCTATTAAAATTTAAATTTGTAATTTTCTAAAATTGGAAATTCAGTTTGAATTCCTGATAATTGACCAGTTGTTGAATGAGCCATTAATCATTATGCTCATTGTGTTGGTTATTGTGTCCTCACTATCCCTTTTCCCTAAGAAGGATATATTTACTAAGCAGTGATTTCTCTACCTCTGTTTTGATTCCCATATTAAATTCTGTAATGTAGTCACCCCTTGATCTAAATATCTTCATTCCAGGTACCCCACCATTCCCATTACACTTTATTTCCTCTTGTCTTTCATCTGAGAACTGTCTTTGGGTAGGACAGTGCGAGCAAATTAATAGACGCTGTGAATGGTCACTAGAATCCTGCAGACAGTGTTTCAGCAGCACTCCCAGATTCAACCATTTGCCAGGTGGACCAGAGCATTATGGGCACCACCTAGGTCACGGGGTCTCATCACTCTCGCCCGCACATCCTGTCCCCATATCTCCTGATCTCGTATCTCCCAATGTTAGGAGGGAATTCTTCACCGGTTACAATCAGAATCAAGCCACCATGTTTTATATCCCCTCTGCAATGTGCCCCTTGTTTCATTCCTCTCCTTCGTTACGTAGGGTGATAGACAGAGCATGGGGTTGAGTTCAATGTACAGTAAGAATTCTGACTATGATGATCATAGGCTGGCTATGACGACCAGTTAGTTACAAAAACAGTTGTATCTGTGTTAACTCTGTCTATTGCGTTAAAGTGAATCCATCGTCTTAACAAAAAATAACCTGCTTAGAATGCAAAAAAACACAAAACCTGGAATGTGAGAATGGCACTAAGAGGTTAGAAGGAGTAGGATCAGCCTTATTTGGAATTGGAACCATATTCTCCTCTAGTTACTTCTGATCACATCTTTTCTCACAGATTGCGTTGTCCTGCAAGCTCCCACGCTCACAAGACTAAGAGAAGGTCACTAGGATTCAGCTAGAGCAGGTTTAACCTTAAGGCAACGCTAGGCAGTGGCTTAGGGCCCAGAGATTAGACACGGACCCCAGAACCATACATTTGCTTGGACCCATGAGCCATCCCTTTGTGAAGAATGAAGAGGGGACCCCATCCAGAACTGGTAAACTGCAGAGTACTGAATGGGTTCTTAACCATTTCCTAACGTTAAGGCATTCTATGCCATCCTACAAAAAGGAGGACTTTAACACCGTTTGGTTGGTATTGCACACCACACCGATCTGTCTCTCCCACCAGGCCCGGGTACTTACCATGCGCTCTGAACTTGGTGACACCATAATCACATTACTCAAATCGGCTGGATTGGCTGTAGGGGGATTGCCTGGGTTGTCAGACAGGCCCCCCATATATAATCTTTTAAATTATATATAACTTATACAAGACACTTGGAATAAAATTATTTATATATATATTATTTATTTTTTCATTCTAAGCATATTTTGGTATTAAATAATTCTATATATATATATATATACACCAGCAGAAATACCAGAGATATTAGTTTACCAGCACTATATAAAACCCCATAAAACATGCACATGAGGGGGACATCACAGCACGTAAATATTTGTAGTATTATTACATTCACATTTAAAATGTCATGAAGAAGTTGGAAAATAAAATGTATTAATTCCTCACACTCTTTTATTCATATTAAAATGAAATGAAAGCCCTGATTCTTCAGAACAAAATGATTTATAGTAAGTGTGGGTGCACTTAAAGGACCACTATAGGCGCCCAGACCATTTCAGCTCAATGAAGTGGTCTGGGTACCAGGCCCATCTAGTGTTAACCCTGCAGCAAAGAAACTGCTGTGTTTACACTGGGGGTTAATCCAGCCTCTAGTGGCTGTCTCACTGACAGCCGCTAGAGGCGCGTCCACGCTTCTCACTGTGAAAATCACAGTGAGAAGACGCTGACGTCCATAGGAAAGCATTGAATGCGCGCGCGGCTCTTGTCGCGCATGCACATTCGACGCTGACATCAGCAGAGGGAGGAGTTCCCCAGCGCTGAGGGAGCCCCATGCTGGAGAAAGGTGGGGTAGACCTAAAGACCCTATAGTGCCAGGAACGAGTTTGTTTTCCTGGCACTATAATTGTCCTTTAATATGAAAGAGGTAAATTATGGTTGAACAGACATATAGTCAAATTCTAGGGGTTTTTTTTGGTTCAGAACTCGGACAATTGCCTCCGTTCCTAAGGGGTCAATTCTTCATTCACTAAGGTTGAGTGGTTGCAGACCAGAAGAAGGATGTCATTTATTGGTTAGACCTGCTTTAAAACCCCTTAAGGGCACAACTTCTGGAATAAAGGGAATCATGACGGAATATTTCCGTTGTGTGTCCTTAAGGGGTTAAATTATATACACCAAAATAATAAAAGGAACAGAACAGAATGTATAACAAAAGAGCTTGATTTTGCTAACCGCAACATTTTCGTTGTTGATAGTTTACCCCAGGTTCCTGAGTGATCCTTTTGTACTAGAGCACCAGTGGGTTCTGTAGCACAGTCCAATGGGTGGATTAAACAACATGAAAGAATTACAAAAATGTTTATTGAAGCCTTCAGCCTCCCAGTGCTACCTTGTCATTGTGCTCCCAGCCATTTTTGGAAGGGTTGTGTCATAGAATAAAGGATTCTGGTCCCTCAGCATACGCAGATAGGTCGTTAGAAGGGATTTCAAGAGATGGAAGAACGTGTGCCTGGGACAAAAATGCTATAAACACTAATGGATTAGAAACCAGACTCCCTAAAACCAAGTCATATACTAACCGTGCAGAAAGGAAAAAAACAGAAAAACATTTATATTCTAACCGATGAGTGGAAAATAACCAGGTATCTCCAAATTATTAACCTGTCACATTTTTAATCCGTACGCACATGTGACATATAGTTTTATAAATATTATTTACAGGTTTGTCCTCAACTAATGCTACAAAGTAATCTACGGCAAGGCTTGCAATTAATCTAAATGTAACATATGTGGCTGTGGATATATAGTTATTTATATACATATATATCCTACCATAATGCCTTAGTATTTTATAATAGGTTTATTTTCAGTATTTCCCAAGGAATCCTGTAGACTTTGTGATATTTAAGATTTACTAAACATTGAGCGCTGATGTGTTTGAAAAACAAACTTGCAGGAAAATTTGGGACAATTTAATTTCCTTTGAGGCTTATTGACTGTTGTTGCACCTGCAATGAAAGCCATAGATGTAGGAAAATCATTTCAATACTTTACATTCTGCACCGGGGGTCATAGAGAATTTAGTAAAAGTAGTTTTTTTCAAATTCTTTTTTTAAAGTACAACCATCATAATGGTCATTTTTATCCATTAAACACCTTAAATGTAGCAAAATGGTAATGATAAAACAAAGAAAATGATACTACCAGTAAATAGGCACATGAAACAACAACCTATTTTCATAAACTTCTGCAACTAGGTAATGGGCTTTTTCAAACATAATTAGGTTCTCAATTTAATATTTGTGGATACGCTTTTCAAATGATTCAATATTTTTGGATACACTTTAAAAATAATTTATTATTTAGAAATATGATTCATTATTCTAATATTTTTTTCTTTATATTTTTTTTATATGTGATTTTTTTTTTAATTCTAATATAATAAAAATTTTAAAACATTTGAAAAGCTTATTGCAAAATATTAAATTGAATCCTATATCGGGGAAAGAAACCTGTCTCGTAATTTATAACATTGACCAGTTCACGGTCCACTTAAGGAGAATCTTTGAGATAAGGTTTAGGGTCAGCTGCCTTTTATCACAATGCAAATTTGTTTCCAGGTATTGTCCCAATTTGCAATTTGACAGAGCTATTTTCAAACTAATTTCACAGCTACATAGCCTGTAAAATATCCGACACTCTGTGTGCTTATTGTCGATTCATTTCAGTTAATTGTGAATATAGTGATCCACTGGAGACGTTTATCAGATGAATAGAAGAGAACCGAGCAGGAGCAAGTGACTAATTTGCTAGAACAAATTACATTTATTGAAAGGGCCACGGATGAGCAAGTATATAGGACGCACAAAATGTTTTTAAAAAAAATATTTTACGTTTAATTGGGTTTACACATACCAATGCAAAATGTGAAGCCTGCAATGACAACCATTTCTACTTAAACAAAATTATTA